GACTACTTTCTGGACAGGCAACTCTGGCTTTCAACCCATACTGCTAACCACAAAATTTACCTTTCAGATGTCCATCCTTCCTTAACAGCCAGCCTTAGAAGAAGAGCAGGGAAGATCCTTGGTTGCAAATTTTAAAACAAAGTCCCACCCCACCCCCCAACCCCGCCACACACACACACTCCTAAAAGAAATGCCCAGGTTTCTTTTTATTCATCTGGCCACCTGAGTATGTAAGCCTCAGTTGGGTCTATTGAATCTCCTCACTAGCCTTTTTGAGAACTAGTCAAACTGTTTTGTTTATATGGCCTGGAGCATCAGCTGCAGTTGGATGGCAAGGTGCATTGGACAGGAATCTGGAGGCAGAAAAGATTACATTCCACTTAGTGAGCCAGCAGGACCTGTGACTGTCAGTAGGGGTCACGTGTCCCACTTTTGGGAGAGGAGTGATAAGGGAGAGTACAGAATGAGCCAAGACCTGGTAATGTCAGACCTGCTTGCATCAATTGTCCTTTGGTCATTGAAGTTACACACACACACACACACACACACACACACACACACACACACACACTCAGTAATTCCCAAACTCTTCCTCTAGATCAGTAATCTACTGTATTAGCTTGCTGGTTGTAGCTAGTATCAGACACTTAGTGGTTAGTAGGAAAAGCAAACAAGTTTCATTGTGTGTGGCTACTTTGTTCTGTAATGGTTCCCTAGAATATTCTGCTGAGGATTTGAGGTAGAATCTGGGCTCAGCAAGAAAAAAGTTTGGTGATTAACAATGTCCACCATGGACTCAGTAAAGTGGTAACTTATTATTTGGAATCTGAATCTAATAATTTTTTATTATATTTTCACATGGCCCTTCCTCCTGCACTTATCACTTCTTTAAATATGATATACACATTCTATTATAAGCACAGGACACATTCCACTATAAGCACAAGGTAGGTACTCAGTACAACTCAGTAAATGTTTGCACGAGTATTTGGAGGACCTAAGCAAGACACAGTGTCCTCGAGAATCCTCTCTTTGTGTTTTATCTCTGGAGCTGTTATCCTGAGAGTCTGTGGACATGCATTGCTGTTTAGGAAATGCCTCTTGGCTTCTCAAGAGTAACCCTAGGACAAAGAGGGAACTATCAGGTTCTCAATATATCTCAGGCACAGCCCTTCATCCTCACAGTAACCAGTGATGAAGGTATTGCCATCTTATCAGCCAGAAAGCTTTCTGTTGCCAGCATAAACCCCAACTAACACTGACTAAACTGATTAGGAAATTCATTGACGCATATTGCAGGAAGATCAATGATCTTGTGATCCCAGGGTCGGTTTGGTCCACTATTCTGAATCCATCACACCTCTGTGTACCCTGGATGTTCATAGATACTCTTCTACCCTAAGGTCATTGGGGAGGGTTACTGTGTCAACAAAGAGAATCTAAGTAGCCTTGCATTCCAGAGGAAATATCTACGAGCTATGCCCTGTGGGTTAGCGATTTGAGTGGACTGGTTACATCCTTCTCAAATTTAGTTTGTAGGACTTTTGTCTTAGTATCTTAATTCTTCTCTGCTCTGCATAAAAGGATGTTTCTTAGGAGGAAGTGCGCCCAGTGTTTTAATGTCATCACTGAAAGGAAGCACAAATTGGTATTTTGTTTCATACCTCTCATTCACTCCCTTGCTCAGCAAACATTTGGCCAGCATCTCCTCTATACTCTGAATGTCCCATGGGGTGAAGCCAAACCATGCCAACTTTAGACTTGGACTGCAGTGGTGTGTAGTCATAGAGGGATGAGCCGAAAACTATGGAACCAGACAAACGTTTGTCTACTAGTTAGATCTAGTATGTTAGCCTTTGCTTCTGGTAGAGTACCATTCTTAACTAGAAATTCTGCTGAGACCTGTCAGTTCTATTGTTTTGGTCATTAGAACAGTTTTGATGTTTTGCCTCTCATTGAGACTCTGAAGCAGACCACGATGACAGAGCATTTTTGATTTGTTGAGCTAGGACCTAACACAATTTGAGCAACATTATTCCTGCCTTGACATGTGCGATGTATACACATGTCAGTGTTTGTAGACGCTTTTGTTATGTAACATGGGAGCATTCATTTTGCAACTGGAGGAAGACAGAGGGGGTGGTTGGTTTTTGTCTTTCATTGACTCTTTGGATGGATTTTGAACCCCTGTAATTAGGCCAGACATGGAAGGAACTCTTCATGAGGGGTGTTGTAATGCATTGGGCCGAAGTGATGTGTTTTAGGTTTTGGATAACAACAGGGTACAGAATCAGTAAGTCAAGGAGAAGGGCTTCCTCCTCAGCATGGAGTGGAACTCAGCTCTGCTTGGGTTTGAGAGTATCCAGGGTTAGGATAGTGGCACAAGACTGGCAATTTTTTTTTAAAAAAGATTTATTTATTTATGCATTACAGAACTGGGGTGCTGGCCAGAGGTGCAGGGACAGTGAGAAGCTTCACCAGAGACAGAGCAAGGAGTAGAACAGGCAGATCAATGAGGTATACTGCTGAGGGGAGCAGTGGGCGAGACAGGAGAGGTCTGCTGTGCCATGTGGATCACCTCCCTGGGGCAGGGGATTGAGCTCACACTGAAGCAGCTGCAGCCAGCTTGCAGTGCTGTGTCCTAACCTGTTGTGCTACTAGGGAGGGCCCAAGACTGGCAATTTTATGATGGGCATTGGACTTACTGGAATTAAGCTGCGTGGACAACAGGTGATTTTGCTAGTTCATTCATGTTGGTTGGGTTTATTTGAGTCACCCCCTTTGGGACTCCCTAGAAACTACCAAAGTTTTTTGGGAGAGTGGCTGGGAACTTGTTCTTATATAATGGGAGCTTGAGCCATGTAAAATGGATACTGAAAGAACTGGAACCATAATTTGTAATCATAGTGTCTGCATGCCTCGAAAATGTAGTTAAGAAGCAAAGCAAAATGTAGAACAACTGAAACAAAATATTTACAGTGTCAAAGTTCAAAATTGGTAATGCAATGGATTAAAGCACAGTACTGTGAAGCTATCAGCAGCCGCTTCTGCACAAGTTCGATCCGGGGCCAGGGAGCTGACCCACATGGCATCACAGACCTCTCCTGATCTGCCTGCTGCTCAGCAGTGTATTTCACCTGTTCTGTTCCCCACTCTGTCTCTGGTGAATCCTCCCACCTACCCAAACTTCTGGCCTGTACCCCAGTTCTGTATGCATAAATAAGCAAATCTTTAAAGAAAAAAAACAATGTGGCCTGACACCTAAAACATGATATGGAAAATAGTTACTTATTTCTTTTGTACTGAATGTCCTTGTTTCCAAATCTTAGCAAGCAACCATTTTCTTTAACCCGGGAACTGAATAACATTTATTTATACACATTAAAAGAGAAACAAAAGTTTTGACAAAGTTAATATGAAAAGTTATTGAAACCAGAAAAGGAATAACTTGCAGGGTTTGGAAGTACAAGCACATGGAGTACTAAATAAAGGCTCTCACTTGTTCTTTTTTTTTTTGCTTGCCTGCCTGTGACTCTTTCTCCCCCCTTCTCCTCCTTCTCATGCTTGAGATATATTAGTAGTAGTAGGCGTGAATTCCGGACCTTTCCAACAGGAGAACAGAAGGAATTTGCACTGCTCCGGAGTTTCCTTTTTCACAAAACAAAATAATAGAAGATAAGGGCTTCTATTATTATATTTCCCATCGACAGAGGGGAAATGGCTGCTGGGGACTTAATTGACCTTACCTCAGGTATCAGAAAGAAATGAACAGCTTGGAACTTTGATCTGATTGCTCCCACACCCACACTCCAGCAATGGGGAGTGGGCACATAATAGTTTCATGAGGGGCTTTAAAAATTGTCATGGGGGCCCTCCCTGGTGGCGCAGCGGGTTAAAGCACTGCACTATGAAGCTTAAGCCACTTACTTCCTCAAGAGTTCGATTCCCGCCTGCCCCGGAGGAGTCCACATGGCGAGGCAGACCTCTCCTGGCCCGCCCGCTGCTCCCCTCAGCAGTGTACTTC